CTTTTTGACTGAAATATACTATTAAAAGTGTCAAAAAGTAATAAAATTCACTTAGAAAAGTGAAAAGAAGTAATAACAATTAATTTATTTTTCTGTATTAATAATAAAAGTGTGAAAAAGTATTTCCTTAAATAAAATTTACTATAAAATACTACTAATATTAATACAGAAAAATAAATTAATTGTTATTACTTCTTTTCACTTTTCTAAGTGAATTTTATTACTTTTTCACACTTTTAATAGTATATTTCAGTCAAAAAGTATGAAAAGTGCTTAAAAAAGTTCACTTATAAATACTTTTGCCTGTTTAAAATCTACTTTTGAAAGTACTTAATAGTTGGTTTTTACCTACTTTTTTTTACATGAGAATTAGAAACTCCGAGACGAAAAGATTTTACGGAAGATTAAAGTAAGTTGTTAAAGCAATTATTTATCATGCTTCTATAAATTGTTAGTGATTTTCTGTTTTTCTGTCAGTTATGTTTCCATAATACTAAGAAAGTTTTTTCATTCGATCTGGATTTTCCAGTACTGTGATTAATTTTTCATAGTACCCAATTGCTACGAGAACTAATAATCGTAGACCCACATGTTATGTTTTGCCATAAAAAATGCCTTTGAAACTTTTATGGTCATTGATGACGAGATACAACAGTTTAAACAACATTGAAAGAATTGAAAAATAATAGTAACTATTAACGTTAGAACAAAATACCATTCATTTGTTAAAAGAAAAAAAGTGAAGAAGTAGTACAAGTATTATGAATATGGCTTTGATATATCTTTCATACACATTGCTCGAATAATTGAGATATTCATACTAAACCATTACTGTCAAGAATAAGTAGTTTTCTTTGTAATTAAGGTAAGATATGTAGACTTTTATATGTTAAAAAAATATTTCGACATGAAATATGATGATCATTTTCCAAAATTATAGAGACATTCATTTAATAAGACTGAATAAACATAGTTTTTTTTAATTGTTTCTCTAAATCTATTTTATTGTCTGATATAGATATAAATGTTGACTAAAATGCAATGAAGTTATTTAAAAAGTATGCAAAAAAACACTTGTACACTACAATTATGTCTTCTATATGATAAATGAATGATTTGTTAGTATTTTTCCTCTAATTGATGAGATATTTTTAATGAAACTGGCTATGGTGTTGAGATTCATATACGTTCTAATCGAGCTGTTGCACTATCATTCGTTTGAATGATTAAATATTGTTCATCTTCAGTCTGCACAAAATTAATATGAGAGATAAGATCACTTATGAAGCTTTCTTTTTTCATTTTTTCTGGTGGACCAGCCATTAGTGTTGACATAAGTGGTGAAGTTTTCCATTCATTATTTTCGGGATTATATTCCAAGGTACAATTCATTCCATTAACTACATGTGCATAAAGACGATACTTATTTGGACTTTCGTTGTTTATTTTAAATTCACAACCAACACATTCTGGATGCGGCGGATAATCAATTATTTTCCAATTACCATCGATACCATCCAATGCTTCCGACATGATAGTCAAATGTTGACACGAAGCTGATCACTAAATAAACCTAGTAAGTAAATGAAATGATTACTTTTTCTTTCTCTGCAATATATATTTTTTCTATTCTCACAAGAGAAAAATATGTACACTTCTTTTTCGTCACCGATAAAAATCAAAATGGAAAAAAAGTAATAAATGCTTGTCACATTAATTATTGATTGCTCATTTGATATGTATAGAAGCAATGTCCAATAAAAATAGAAAATATAATTACTTTGAAACGAATTTTATTAATAACTAACATCAACATAAATGATGATTTCATTCGATAGCATTATATAATCAAAACAACACGATGTGCATCAGTAGATTTTCAAGAATAATTTTACATATTTCTTTACACTCGATGATATGAAAGAAAAAAGTACAGTCGTTATATCAGGACGCAACACCTAGAATATTTTCTATTACTAACGATGGAGGAAAATTTTTCAAAATATTTGGCAGTAAAATCTGTAACATATATCATTCAATGCACATTCTTCTTCTCTTTTCAATGGTGAAAATTGCAGGTTTCAATCGAATTTCTATTAGAAGTGACTCAAAAAATATCCACTACTCTTCTACTTTTCAACGAATAATTGACAAGGTTTCAAGATGGCTCACAGATATAGGCTTTGAGCCTGATGGACCTAATTTTATCATATAGATGTTTTTAATCCTTAGTAGTTTTGCATCTTATTAAATAACACTTTGCTACTCAGTTTTTCATGCTGACTCAGAATACACTATTTTTAAAAAAGTTTGTAAAATAAAAGTATTTCAGATTTTGTTAGTATCTCTGTGAAAAGTAAATTCGTGACTAAAAATAGTCTATTTTAAGCCTTTTATTTATTTAATGATTTTTCAACTGAACAGTGATTGGATAGAAACAAAACCAATATATTCGTGACCAGCTTTCGAAGTTCTATTAAATAATATATAATAGAACGAAAAATAAAGTTCACTTGAATTTTGCGTTTTCCTCACTAGAATGAAAAGTTAGGTTCTTTTTATCGTATCATGTTTGTTTATTCTTCATCATTGTCAAGTGTTTTTTGTAAGAATGAAACAAGTTTAGATGTAACATTTTTACTTTCATTTCTAGTTTCAACAAGTATAGTGACAATTTAAGGTTCAAATTATTCTCTAAAAATTTTTACAACGTAATTCAGCTTTCTATTTCATCTAACATGTATTGTAACTGTAAATAATGTCATAAAATGTATTTATCATGATGCTTGTTTGAAGTTTGTAGCTGCTAAAATGCATTGTTGCTATATATACATAGGTGTTATTCTATTTGGTTTTCCAATACGCATAAGTAGCTCTTTGACTTGAAGAGTGACATACACGAGCATATAGGTAAGAACAGTCATAGAAATGAGTACAATCATATTCTGACTACGATAAAATAATGGTTTTCCTATATAAGTAAAAGGTAATGTTAACTTCAATACATTAGAAGGAATACCCGTTAGTGTTAATATGTCTGCAACAAGTTCAATCCGTCATGTTACAAGTATGTCACGTTTAGCTCGTACTGAAGTAACTATAGATGGTCGACGCATAAATCTCACCAGCTGTATATAAAGAATATTGATAATAATAACTGATAATTATACCATTAATAATCGTATTAGACCAAATAAATTCACGAGCAATATTAATAGCTATGAAGCACGTATTTTCTATACGTATAAATTGTATATCGTGCCAAAAATGAGTCAGTAAAATAAAAAGAAATGAAATAAACCACAAAATAGGAATAATCACACCATATAAATAATAGCATATTGTAGCCATACAGAACAAGGATAGATTACACGAAAGACAAGCTATGCAGTAAGATACGCATTCTAAATTTAGAGTGTCAGTTAAATGTAACTGTAGAAATTGAATTACTATATATGTTGGTTGGTGTGGGTGCATGTTTGGGTAGAAACGCATTCACATCGACACCCACACCCTAAATCGTTTATTAACACTTATTAAAGCGTTCACTACTTCAATATTGTGCAATATTTTCATAATAATCAGAAGAACCTCATCAGATAAATCATTTAATTCAACCGATAAATGTTCCACATTTACCATTACTTCTCTATTTTTCTGAGCTTATATAATTCTATTTCTATTTATTAATTCTATTGGTCCAATATCGTCAACAAAAAAAGAAATGAACGAATCAATGAAAAGTATCGCACTTTTCTTTTTTCTTGTATTTTATATCACAATGAACATTGAAATATATGTTAGTTAAAAGTAAACTAGATATAACATCTGTTCATTGATACAAAAATGGATATTAGTATATTGATATTGTGTATAATTTTGAGATTATTAATGTTATTGATGTGTCACGCCAAATACTTCCGTATCAACATAATTGGAATATTTGAAATTTATTCATTTGTTAATATAATTTTCTCGAAGAAGTTCCAACAGATGTCTGTGTCCTCCAATCGTAAAAAGCGAAAAAGAAATATTTATAAAGAGATTTTCTTAATTTACTCTATTGCAGAGTAAATATGCTAACACATTTATTATATTAGAAAAACCAATTTTGATCAATTGATCAGTTTTAGTAAAATTGATAATTTCGAACTAAAAGAAAAAAAAAAATTAAGCCTTATTACTGATAAATAAATTTTACTTCATTCGTCAAATTTAATATAAAAGCATTTTTGACAAGAAAACAACGTGTGATGACTTATTTGAGTTTTCAGGAAATTCAAATGAATATCATGACCATTGATTTGATTACAGACGTGATCATCATGATACATTTTGATTCAATGGCAAACAAATAGGATTCTGTTGAGGTAACCCAGACTTCAACCTATTTAATGAAATATGAAATATGTTTTAAGAAAAAAAAAATTATTCATCATGGAAAAATTTGACATTTTAAGCTTTGCAAGATATATTTTAAAGAAGAAGAAATTTATTAATACTAAGATGTAAATACTAATTTTACTTTTTTCAATGAGTTCTACTCAAGCGACATTCGAGTAAACGTTTTTATGCTTTCCAATCTTTCCAATGCGTAATGAATTTTTTCGAATGCGTCTTTGGTATTAATCTTGAAGACATCTAGTTTACGTTGATGTTCTCTAAGTTTTCCAATTTCTTCCGGTGTCCAATAGAATCCGACGACAAGACCAACAGTGTTAACAGTTCGAACAGTTGTAAGTGCAGCATAGAATATTTTTACAATATTTGTCAAAGCATATATTGGTGTGGTTATATACTCATAAATAGTGGCAAAGAGAGTGAAAAGACATGAAAAAAATTATCATTATGATTCTCTTTAGCAGATGATAATGATTCTAATTTTTTATCCATATCGTCTAATATACCATTTAATATTCGCTGTCCCCAATCACACTCACGTTTTCCTTCATCCAAATTTATAGCGATCTTTTCTAATGTATATTTTTTTTTCTCGGAATATCAAATTTACTTCTCATTCGATTAATTTCAGCATCAGCTATTTCATATGCATTTTCTGCTTTACTGAGAAATTATTTGATTTGGGCTGTTTTTTTATTGTAATACAGATGGATTCACGAAATTGTTGTGATTCTTTAATTAACCATATGTATCGATCAAATTCCCAATCAACATTTTTGTTTGAACAGGTTAATTTGCTAAGTTCGTGCCACAATAGCGTTTCTAGACGACTATGCATATCATTATTCAACATTGATGATACACTTGCCAATCCTGTCTTAATATCACCGACACTCTTTTTTTACTCATGTCTTCTTTTATTGTAACTTTTACATCGAATGTGGAATTAGTTTTACTATATTCGAAAAATTTAATGCACAACTTATAAATTTTGTCGAATTTTTTTTCCGGAAATTTCCATAGTTTATTCATTTTTCCTTCAGATTTCATCAACTTCAGAACTTCGTTGAATGTATTAGTCAAAACTTCATATGATTTGTAGTAAGCACCTTGAAATTGTGTGTATTGGTATAGATTGTGAGATTCTAAGGCAATATCAAGATCTGACTCTTTGAGAGAAGCAGCTGTGCTGGATATAAAAACCGAGAAGTAGAAAAAGGATGAATATAATAGCTAAATGGTTACAATCCTATTGATTATCTAGACAATAAAAGGAAGAAAAATGGATCGTTATTAGTAAAGATGATGCATATCTTAAGAAGCTGTATAAAGAAAAATGAAAGGATGTAAAGAGAAAATGGAAATAGAAAGATACTCTTCTGTCTGATGCCTAATCAAGAAAAATAATGTTTTGCACCATTAAATCTTAAATTTTTAGTCATCTCTCATGACGAAGGATATAATTAGGGTTTTTCAATTGAATTGAATTTAATGATAGGCTTATTCTTTATGTCTTTTGGAAATGAAACAATTAGATCTTGATCAAGGCACATCAAACCAATTTTATCTCAACATTTTCTACTTCTTTGAAAATATGATCCATCAAAACAACTTTTATATGATGACACATTTTTTTCTTCTTGAACATATAATGAAAAGGACGGGGGCGCATAAGACCGTAATTTGGCCCATTGGACTTTTCATACTATATCCAGCACAATCATATATAGGATGAAAGAGCTTCAACTGGCGAGTACTTTCCAATACATTTGACG